CAGGAGGGCTGGACTAGATGACCCACAGAGGTCCCTTCCAACCCCTACCATTCTGTGATTCTGTGATTCTGTGAATTCTAATAGCTAAGCATATACTAAAATTTTGAAATCCAGATTTTGGGTTAAAATAAACTGCATGGATTTACGGGAAATTAAACTAGAAGAAACCTCATTCCTGTCTGAAAGAGCTTACTTTTGTATTTTTCTCTATTTACGATTTTCTTCCTTCCTGCATGCTCAAAGAACTCCAAGCTCCTACGAGTAAATTAATGAGTAAACATTAATACGATTCCCTGCTCTTAAGCAGTCCCATTGCCGTTACCATGGAATAACAGGCTTTATCTATAGAGAAAATCTGGGTCAAGCTTTCATTTCTGCTTTGTGTACTTATTTTGGAATCTTACTGCAAGCAAACATCAGTAAAGAACTCTGTAAAGGATCTGCAATCCCATCAATTTAACAGCATTTTCTAGCACAAAAGGAAATATAGACTCGGCCTCGTTATGTTGCTGAGAAATGAATGACATTTCAATAGATTTTTAAAAGGTAATATGAAATGTGTAAAAGGTAATTTTTGTTCTCCATTTGCAGTGTTGAGCAATCAAACTAGAATTCCCAGAGGATGTTCTGTCTTCTGAGATGGTTTTAGAATTACCCATATTTTACCAGTGATATAAGATGAAAAGTTTACGATGTTTTCAGCTAAGACAGAAGTCTATTTCAGTTTTATGAAGTAATACCATACCTCGGAAATCTTGTGGCGCTTCACTCCAGGCAGGCTTGATTTCCACGTTCACTCCATTCTTCTTTGCTTTTGCAGTAAACATTCCACCTTCCCTCTCCTAAACAGTAATTCCATTTGAATTCCAAATGAAATTTTTGTTTTTGCTCTAATCCTCTCTTGCTATAGTTATTTGCTAAGATTTTTAAAGTATGTGGTTAAGGTATTTATTTTCGATCCAAGCATTTGCAAAGCTTAAATTATAAATGTATTTTAAAATACTTGACCTGAATTGGTCATAAAAGACCAGTGAAAAAAAAGAAAAAAAAAATAATGTGTCCCCTTGGAATTTCAATACTGCAAAAAGGACTAAGCAAAGATGGGCAAACAGAGGAAATAAAATATACTAAAATTATTGCCAGTCAAGGTTTGATCTCTAAGTAATATCATACATACAACATTTTATATTCACAAAAGTGTTTACAATTGCTAAAACTTACCTGTGTGGCAAAACCTTTTAGGGAATTGTTGTCATCATCTCCAACAGAGACGAGGATGTTTGGTTGCTTGTACTCTACCAGAAACACCTTTGTTACAACTGTACTCTCCCTGCAGTCCCTGAAAGTCAATGTTCACAAAGCTATATACGTGCCACAAACTCATGTGCAGCAACAAGTAAACCACTGATGAACATGGCTTGTTTGCTGGAACATCTCTTCCAAGCTTGCAAGTCATTATTTTGGTTGGTAAGTATAATCCTGGGTAATACTCTCAGGAACTACTGCTTTGTTTTGTTCTTTTTTTTTTTTTTTTTTAATTTAAAATGTGCATGATAAGGCGTTACCAATAAAATACACGGATACTTTAAACCCTCAACATCTTTTACATGTAAAACATAGTGCTGTTGTATTCCAGTGGAGACACAAGCAAAGGCTACCTGCAGCTGCTAATAGCAGGGAACAGCAAGCACAAATCCCCAACTGGAGTGGCAGTTTCTGCTCCCTTGGAAATAAAAGATAATGCAACAGGGTACACACAGAGAATCCATGTGTCCTCTCTCTGTCTCTAAGCATGAAGTTAGTTTAGAGAAAATCAGTAGCTGTGCAGCAAAATCCAGTTTTCTTTCTATGTACTGTATTTTTACTTTACCCTTGCGCATACAAGACTGTGAGGTTTAGCACTGTGCTCCTTTGAGAGAAACTAAGCAAATTCCTGGGAAGACCAGCTTCTGTAAATCTGCTGAATCACTGGATGACCCCAGAAAACACCACACTAGTTCATTCCAGAGAACACCATACTAGTGGCATTTCTCTTGATCACTCTCAAGAGGACGAGCTCTAAGTGTAGTCTATTTTATTAGTTTCATACCCACAGCCTCTACAGATCATTGGCCTACATCCACAGCCCAGGAGATAAACAACTGAGAGATAGTCCATCCACACAAGCGCTTAATGGATAAAAAGCGTTACGAGAAAATGAAGTCAATGCAGCTCATGAAGATCACTTAGATTGCAGACTGGCTGATGAAAGGGGCATCTCTCACTTGCAAGGTATGGAGTGCTTCAGACAGCATAGCTCCAAGCCATGACTGGGATATCTGCTCCTTGCCAAAATACGACTAAAATAGAATAGGGTACTTACTTTGTAACTGCCAGTGCCTTGACAGTTATTTTCCCAACTGGTAATATAATAGGACCCTTATACTTAAAAGTGTTATGCTCTCCATAGCCAGGTTTCCTAACGAGTTCTGGTTTACTTCCATCTAAAGTGTAATAAATAGAGACCTCAGGTGTATCTGAAAGACATGGAGAAAGTAATTAGCCAAACTGTATTCGACCTGTGAAAAACAAGCTCTACGCATCAAAGTCCTCACTACAGTGCTTGATTTTTCTCACCTAAACAAAATAAAGCAGTTCCACAAATGGCTGAATGTTTGGGACCAAAACTGTTTCTCCCATGAAAAATTAGTTACTAAACAAAGGCAATTTCATTATAAGCAATATTTCTCTTCCTAAAGTAGCTGTGCAATGGTTGCAACAGCTTGTCCATTCTAACGACAGAAAAGGTATTTTCTCACATGGTGAAAATTGGCATTTCCAAAATTGTAAGGAAAGCCTTTGGGGTGAGCCTGGCATATGGCACTTTCAAGTACATGTTTTGCAGTCAAAGCAAAATGCAGCATCTTAGGAGCCTGATCTTGGAAGAAATTAAGACTGCTAACATATATGAAATAACTCATATGTCAATATTGTTTGAATGCATAAACTTAAGGACAAGAATATTTGGTGTATCAAAACATGCTGGTTAATTATTTAAGTTCCTTAATGAAGTGGGCACTCATAAAAATAATAATTAATAATTAAATATAAAATAATAATTAAATGCAAACAAAATTATAGAGGCTAAAATTTTCAGATGAACACGTACAAAAATGATTTACATGGAGTCAAAGCTCTTATTCATACCTGATTTTATTTCTACGAGAGTATTTGTGTCTATTTCATGTTTAGCCTTCCCTGGAAGAGGGATTCGAAGTGGTATGACCTGAGGAACTGAGACCGAGCCAGCTGTCATTTTTCTCAGCAGTGATCTTTAAAAAAGAAAAAAATGCAGACAATAATTTTTCTAAACAGAAGAATGCATTGATAAATATGGTCTTTTGATGTGATTCCTTGGCTTCATTTGTTTCTCTTAAAAGAGAGAACACTGGGTTCTTTAAACTGTTAGTTCTCATTACTATTTACATGATTTTCACACTGAAAAGGAGCAAGATCCGCACGACCATCACACTTCTGACTTATTCTCTTGTTTCAGAACTGTGAAAAAAAGCTTGAGACGAGCACTGTCACTTTCACTTCACTTTGACCTTCCTTGCTCAGATCTGATCTCCATGTATTCAAGTGAAACAGCTTTAGCACCATACATCAGCGACACACAGTAGGAGTAAGAGCAAAGTATGTCCATCCTAATCACAGCAGATGTGGAACCAGCTTCTTGTTTCATTGTGGCCATCTGAATATATACAAGATGTCCTGAAAAAGACTAAAGCAAGACAGCTACTGCTTAAACTTATCTCAGCTATCGTATGCCTTAAGAATATACCTACAAAACAGGTGCCAAACATGATTTATGATAATTTACATAGTCGTTATCATGTCACACAATTCAAGAATGAAAAATTGCACTTGGATACGATAACATTTTACAATACAAAAAGATGTACTCCAGATCTTGGGAACTGATACTCAGGGCCAGGAAACATGTCTACACTGGAAGGATTTGGTTTTGTAACCAACCATTCAATCCTCCAGAAATGTCTCTTACGCTACTCATCAACGCAAACAGTAATGATTCAGCACGGGAGGTGTTCGTTAGTCCATGCTTCACTGGGGCTGTGACGAGGTAAGCCACAGCGCTGCCTGCAGCTGCCCATCTCCTTGGCTGGGTCGCCCGAAACAGCGGTTAAGGAGTGCGGGCAGTTCTCAGCCAAACTCTTGGGCCGCATGCAGTGGCAGGGGAGACACGACGATGGGTGGGTCAGATCTTTACCTGGCGCGAGGGGCAGAGAGTACTTTTCCTCAAGGGCCCGCCTGCTCTTAGTACACCTGGACCAAAAGCGCAGCGCCATGTTTCAGCCTCCTGAGAGCCCGTCAGCAGTGGGACACAGCCA